TTTTTTTTTTGAGACACAGTCTCGCTCTGTCACCCAGACTGCAGTGGAGTGGCATGATCTTGGCTCACTGCAACCTCTGTCTCCTGAGTTCAAGTAGTTCTCTGCCTCAGTCTCTTGAGTAGCTGGGATTACAGACGCCCACCACCATGCCCAGCTAATTTTTTGTATTTTTAGTATAGACGGGGTTTTACCATCTTGGCCAAGCTGGTCTTGAACTTCTGGTCTTGATCCACCCGCCTTGGCTTCCCAAAGTGCTGGGATTACAGATGTGAGCCACTGTGCCCAGCCTTCACTCTTTTTTATTTTATTTTTATTTTTGGAGACAGAGTCTCCCTCTGTAACCCAGGCTAGAGTAAAGCTACACAACCTCAGCTCAGTACAACGTCCACCTCCTGGCTTCCAACGATCCTTGTCCCTCAGCTTCCTGAGTAGCTGGGACTACAGGTGTGTGCCACCGTGCCTGGCTAATTTTTTGTATTTTCAGTAAAGATGGGGTCTCACCATGTTGCCCAGGCTGGTCTCGAACTCCTGAGCTCAGGCAATCCACCCACCTTGACCTTCTAAAGTGCTGGGATTATAGGCCTGAGCCACCTTGCCCAGTATCACTCTGTTAATATGTTTCCTTTGCTGTACAGAATCTGTTTAACTTAATATAATCCCATTTTTTTATTTTTGCTTTTGTCGTGTGTGTTCTTTCAGTCTTATTCATAAAAATCTTTCCTCAAATGTCCTAAAGTGTTTCCCTTATATTTTCTTCTGGTAGTTTTATAGTTTCAGGTCTTATATTTAAGTCTTTGATCCATTTTGAGTTGATTGTTGTATAGGGTGAAAGGTGGAGGTCTAGTTTCATTCTTTGTATTGATAACCAGTTTTCAAGTTGCCATTTATTGGAGAGACTAAACTTTCTTCCATGAACATCTTTGGCACTTTGCCAAAAATCAGTTGGCTGTAGATATATGGATTAGTTTCAGTGTTCTCTTTTCTGCTCCTTTGGTCAGTGTGTCTGTTCTTATGCCGGTACCATGCTGTTTTGATTACTGTAGTGTTGTCATATATTTTGAGGTCTGTTAGTATGATGCCTCCAGCTTTGTTCTTTTTTTCAGAATGGCTTTAGGATCTTTTGTGGTTCTAAACAAATTTTAGGATTTTTGTTTTCTATTTCTGTGAAGAATATCATTGGTATTTTGATAGTAATCCACTCTGTAGATTGCTTTGGGTCGTATGTAAAGAATTCTTAAATTTGAGGTTGCTGGCTTCCATTAAGAACTCTAAGACCATGGACTCATTGATTATTATAGGTATCATTGATTTTTAGTTAGGCTAAAAATACACATGACTGTTTCAAAGTATATGTAATTACAGAGGCTTTGAAAAAGACAGTATTCATGTGCTAGAGACCAATCCAGAAGACTTAAGCTAAACCAATGTCAATGTCAATGTCTTCTTAGTGGTGTTTAGGTACAGGTTTGCTTGTCCTGATGTTTGTTGCAGTTTGAATGGAGAGGCACAGTGAGGTCAGGGGTAACCCAGTTAATTGGTGCCCAGATGGTTTGTATAATAGTACCTTATTTAGACACCATATTCTAGAGTATCATCATGTACTTGGAAATTCAATTCCTACTACACCAAGGGGTGGTCAACATTGAGGAAATTACTCCTGCTTCACAAACTCCCAGAAGACAGAATGCCCACATTTTGATTTATAGTGACACTCTTGTCTGTGTAGGTACCTCCACATGGGACACCAAATCATAATCAGAATATTGCTTACTGAGTGGGAAATGGGGGGAAGAAGAGTTAGCTGGGTGATCGCGGTGTCCAGGGATATCAAGCAGAGATGCACATGGTATCATGACACTCGGTGGAAGCTGCTGGATGCACAGCTAATGTTTGCTCTTCAGCCTCCATTTTCTATTTTGTTGTTGTTGTTGTTGTTGTTGTTGTTGTTGAGATGGAATCTCACTCTCAGCTCACTGCAACCTCTGCCTCCTGGGTTCAAGCGATTCTCCTCCCTCCGCCTCCTGAGTAGCTGGGACTACAGGTGCCCACCACCATGCCCATCAGCCTCCATTTTCTAGGCTTTATTTCTGATCAACATTCCTTACGGTCAGTGCAGTCTTTTTTTGCCTAAGTTGACTCCTTGAAGGTCAGCATTAATACTTGGTCTGGAGGCCATTCAGTGTCCTCCAATATGCTTCTAAATATTCTGCCCCGGTTCTTCATGTCTATTTGTCTTTCACATTTAACTTTCTTTTTAGGGGATCCCATGTGTAATACCAAGATTTGTGTATACGTATATATGCATAAAATTATCCAGAGGCTTTATACTACTTGTACATGATTGAAATATTCAACAACCAGTCGGGTGTGGTGGCTCACACCTATAATCTCAGCACTTTGGGAGGCCAAGGCGGGTGGATCCCTTGAGGTCAGGAGTTCAAGACCAGACTGGCCAACATAGTGAAACCCCCATCTCTACTAAAAATACAAAAATTAGTGGGGCGTGGTGGCGGGCGCCTGTAATCCCAGCTACCTAGGAGGCTGAAGTAGGAGAATTGCTTGAACCCAGGAGGCAGTGGTTGCAGTGGGCTGAGATCATGCAACTGCACTGCAGCCTGGCAACAGAGCAAGACTCCGTCTCAAAAAAAACAAAAAAAATTAGCCAGGCATGGTGGTACACACCTGTACTCCCAGCTACTTGGGAGGCTAAGGCAGGAGAATCACTTGAATCCGGGAGGTAGAGGTTGCAGTGAGCTGAGATTGTGCCACTGCACTCTAGCCTGGGTGGCAGAGCAAGACTTTGTCTCAGAAAAGAGAGAGAGAGAGAGAGAGAGAGATAAGATAGATAAGATAGATTCAACAACGTAAGAAATGGGGTAAGCAGTTCTTATCTGTCATGTTTGCTAAAGAGTATGAGAATCATCAACCTTCATGCTATTGCTGATCTGAATTGCTTTTTGACTTTTTATTTCAGATTAAGAATGACCCAAAATAAATTAAAGCTTTGTTCCAAAGCCAACGTGTATACTCAAGTGCCTGATGGAGGATGGGGCTGGGCGGTAGCTGTTTCATTTTTCTTCATTGAGGTCTTCACCTACGGAATCATCAAGACATTTGGTGTCTTCTTTAATGACTTAATGGACAGTTTTAATGAATCCAACAGCAGAATCTCATGGATAATCTCAATCTGTGTGTTTGTCTTAACCTTTTCAGGTTAGTACATCTCTCAGCCTACCTAAAAGTGCAGACCCTTTTTAATTTGCCTACCTAGGTAATGGTAGTTGGTGTGATTTATGCATTCATTCCCTTATATGATAGTTGGTCCTTCCTAGCCTCGACTAACAGGGGTTTCAGAGCATTGAGGATTGGCAAGAAATAAAAGGCACTGAAGGAAAAAGCCTTACTTGCCAGCCATGACAGCCTTCAATTTAACACACATGTATTAAACATCTGCTGTCTGCACTCTCTTAGGATTCTGTAGATTCCTTTGAGAAGAGCAGTCAACCCCCTTTTGTGAGGAGGTAAGGATATAGTCACTGTCTAAGAAGCAATATCAGAAAGTTGCTGATGCCTGGGCATGGTGGCTCACGCCTGTAATCCCAGCACTTTGGGAGGCTGAAGTGGGCGGATCACAAGGTCAGAAGTTTGAGATCAGCCTGGCCAACATGGTGAAACCCCATCTCTACTAAAGATACAAAAATTAGCCAGCCATGGTGGCAGGTGCCTGTAGTCCCAGCTCTTCGGGAGGCTGAGGCAGGAGAATCGCTTGAACTTGGGAGGCAGAGGTTCCAGTGAGCCAAGATGGTGCCATTGCACTCCAGCCTGGGCAACAAGAGAGAAACTCCATCTCAAAAAAAATTTTTTTTAAGTAAGTATGACGATAACTTAATTTTTAAATTGTGGAAAACTTAATTACCTTCTTAGAAAGATAATTTAAATGAATTAGGACTAAAATGTTTTATTTGGCAATCTAAATAAAAAGAAAATCCCAAAGCTTAAGTTTTAGGTCTTTTATAACCAAAAATAAAAATGTAGTCAATACAAAATTTCCACTTAATACTATTATACCAGAAGATAATTCTTCCAAATGCTATTATTCTAGTTGTTAATGCTTGGAGCCAACATCCTGGCTCAAAACGATGAGTATGCTTTTATTATGAGCTACATCCAAGATTACTTTGTATTCTAATAGTTAACATAGTAGATACACACGGACTAACACCAAAAAATGGAATCCTTTTTTCCCACTTCCTCTTCTATCATATTATTCTTTGACCCAACTCTCAATGGCTCACTTATGTCAGTGTTCTCAAGTTAATATTAAGTAACCTATAACTAGGAAACGAATTTGCCAGACTCTTTTTTTTTTTTTTTGAAACAGAGTTTCGCTCTTATTGCCCAGGCTGGAGTGCAATGGTGCGATCTCGGCTCACCACAACCTCTTCCTCCTGGGTTCAAGCAATTTTCCTGCCTCAGCCTCCCGAGTAGCTGGGACTACAGGTGCGAGCCACCATGCCCAGCTAATTTTTGTATTTTTAGTAGAGACGGGGTTTCACCATGTTGACCAGGATGGTCTGGATCTCTTGACCTCGTGATCTACCCGCCTCGGCCTCCCAAAGTGCTGCGATTATAGGCATGAGCCACCGAGCCTGGCCCAATTTGCCAGATTTAAATGTCCCAGGGGATACAGCTTATAGAAGCTAAGCAAATGATGATTCATTTTCAATTATCTATCCCATAGCAATTCTCCTTCAGGAGTGCATAACTGAGTATTCACATTCTTTCATCCTGTAAAGAAACTAACTAGAATCTGACCCCAAATGGAGCTTTTGAAAAAGAATCCAAAGCATTAGAGTAGAGAAAAAATAATGATTCAAGCAATCATAGGAAAACCAATTTTTATCATAGAATAACATAAATACATATCTAATTTTATAGATGCTCATGGTGAGTCAGAGTCATCTAAAAATATAGATAAAAGTTTTACACTGTTATTCTGGCTTTCTTTCAGAAGCCTGACAAATCGTGTCGAATTTGAACAAATAATAAAATAATTCCTGCACTGACTTTGCATGAAATGTATTATGGTTTGGCTTTGTTTTTTTCTTGAGACAGGGTCTCACTCTGTCACCCAGTATGGAGTGCAGTGGTGCAATCTTGGCTCACTGTATCCTCTGCTTCCAGGGCTCAAGCAATCCTCCCACCTCTGCCTCCTGAGTAGCTGCAACTACAGGTGCTCACCACCATGCCTGGCTAAGTTTTGTATTTTTTGTAGAGACAGGGTTTCACCATGTTGCCTAGGCTGGTCTCAAACTCCTGGGCTCCAGTGATCCTCCTCCTCAGCCTCCCAACGTGCTGGGATTACAGGTATGAGCCACCACGCCCAGCTGTATTTATATTTGACATCATCTCTCCATACGCAAGACATAGAGGAAGGAGTCTTATGTATGGAAGTAACCCTAGAGCCTCTGTTTGTTAAAATACCACTTTCTGTTCTTTCTTGGCAGCTCCCCTCGCCACAGTCCTGAGCAACTGTTTCGGACACCGTCTGGTGGTGATGCTGGGGGGTCTGCTTGTCAGCACCGGAATGGTGGCCGCCTCCTTCTCACAAGAAGTTTCTCATATGTATGTCGCCATCGGCATCATCTCTGGTAAGTGTTCCTCTTTGGCTCAGAAGTTCTGTAGAACTAGTTCTTAGTTTGAAGAACAAGGAAGGGGAAGGAGGAAATTAAAGCCAAACTATATTTCTTTCTCTTTCTTTTTTTTTTTCTTTAACATGAACAGTGTCTCAGATCAGTAGTTTTGAACTGAGCAATATGGACTTCAGGGGACCTGGGAACCTATTCTCAAGTGCCCAAGAGTTTTTGTTTGATCTTCACCAATGACTTATTCTTGGGAGCCTAAGAAAACCTCTTTCCATTTAAAAAGAGTAGCCATCACGGTGGGTCACACCTGTAATTCCAGCACTTTGGAAGGCTGAGACAGGAGGATTGCTTGAGCCCAGGAGTTTGAGACCAACCTGGGCAACATAGGGAGACCCCTTCCCTACAAAAACTAAAAGACTAGCTAGGTATTGTGGTGTGTGCCTGTGATCCCAACTACTTTGGAGGCTGAGGTGGGAGGATCACTTGAGCCTGGGAGGTCAAGGCTCCAGTGAGCTGTGATCATACCACTGCACTCCAGCCTGGGCAACAGAGCAAGACCCTGTGTGTAAAAAAAAATAAAGTGAAATATACAGCACATGGTGGCCATATATTCCTCATAGATAATAGATACACACACACAGTTGTTAAGATTTGCAGACTAAATTTTTCCTATGTATCTGCACATATGACTTATTTCTTTCTAGATACAAATCTTATAAAAAATTTCATGCAATAATAATTTCATCCATTGTGAATTATATATATTTGAGAAAAAAGTTTTTATCCTTTTAGCATCCCGAAACAATCACTGCAGTTTATTCAGACCTTTAATGGAGCCCATTTTTCTTTGCAACATCACCTTTGTGCAGAATGAATTACTTCGCTCCCAGAACATAGATTCAAAAGCAAAAGCGGCAATCCCAGATCTCTGAATGCTTCCTTCCAGTCTCTGGCAGTGTGTGGGTCTCACTGGCTTTTGTGACTTTTCCTCCACAGGTTTGGGATACTGCTTTAGTTTTCTCCCAACTGTAACCATCCTGTCACAATATTTTGGCAAAAGACGTTCCATCGTCACTGCAGTTGCTTCCACAGGAGAATGTTTCGCTGTGTTTGCTTTTGCACCAGGTGAGTGTACTACAATGGTCTAAGACCGTATTAATGTGATGAGGGACCCCACTCAGGTGGTCTTGCTACAGTAACTTTTGACAACAGTATGGATGACTTTAAGCGTACGCATAGGGAGAGGTTATTTAGCATCTCTTCTCCAGCTCATTTTTAGGATCTGTCCTCCCTAACCCACACTTTAGGAATTCAGACCACCTTCATAATAGGTTTGAATTCCTAACTCGGCACATCTGCAATGGTAGGGCTTTCTGGACACATGCATTCCAGAATAATCTAATGATTTGCAACTGTTTACACCTGTCATGTCCTCTCCTTTTTCAAAAGAGCTACATTCAATGTGGATTTAGATTATGCTAATAAAGACAGCCTTCTACTTTGCGCAGTGGCAGTATCATGGCCAGTGAGGTTTATCCGAGGTGCAAGTATTGCTAATTGAAAACTTCTCCCAAGACAGCCTTCTTATCCGTGTGTAGATCATCTCAAAACAAAATCTTTGGCCAGGCTTGGTGGCCCACACCTCTAATCCCAGCACTTTGGGAGGCTGAGGTGGGCGGATCACCTGAGGTCAGGAGTTGGAGTCCAGCCTGGCCAACATGGCAAAATCTTGTCTCTACTTAAAACATAAAAAACAGCTGGGTGTGGTGGCACATGCCTATGATCCCAGCTACTTAGGAGGCTGAGAAGAATTGCTTGAACCCAGGAGGTAGAAGTTGCAGTGAGCCAAGATCACACCACTGCACTCTAGCTTGGGCAACAAGAATCCATCGCAAAAAACAAAAAAACAGATTGAGTACATTCATACTACTGAGTATAGTAAATTTCCACAAAACTTATAATGAAATCTAGATCCATATTTCTTCTTGATGGTTTCTCCTGGGTCTTGAGTCCATTATTGACCTTAGATTTTATTTCTTCTTCACTCCTGCCTATTCAAGCAATCATGGCTCTGAAGGAGAACATTGGCTGGAGATACAGCCTCCTCTTCGTGGGCCTACTACAGTTAAACATTGTCGTCTTCGGAGCACTGCTCAGACCAATCATCATCAGAGGACCAGAGTCACCAAAAGTAGTCATCCAGGAAAATCGGAAAGAAGCACAGTATATGCTTGAAAATGAGAAAACACGAACCTCAATAGACTCCATTGACTCAGGAGTAGAACTAACTACCTCACCTAAAAATGTGCCTAGCCACACTAACACAGAACTGGAGCTGAAGGCTGACATGCAACAGGTCCTGGTGAAGGCCAGCCCCAAGCCAAGTGAAAAGAAAGCCCCGCTGTTAGACTTCTCCATTTTGAAAGAGAAAAGTTTTATTTGTTATGCATTATTTGGTCTCTTTGCAACACTGGGATTCTTCGCACCTTCCTTGTACATCATTCCTTTGGGCATTAGTCTGGGCATCGACCAGGACCGCGCTGCTTTTTTATTATCTACGATGGCCATCGCAGAAGTTTTCGGGAGGATAGGAGCTGGTTTTGTCCTCAACAGAGAGCCCATTCGCAAGATTTACATTGAGCTCATCTGCGTCATCTTACTGACTGTGTCTCTGTTTGCCTTTACTTTTGCTACTGAATTCTGGGGTCTAATGTCCTGTAGCATATTTTTTGGGTTTATGGTTGGAACAATAGGAGGAACCCACATTCCACTGCTTGCTGAAGACGATGTCGTGGGCATTGAGAAGATGTCGTCTGCAGCTGGGGTCTACATCTTCATTCAGAGCATATCAGGACTGGCTGGACCACCCCTTGCAGGTAATTTAAATACACAAAATACAAATGCTTGTCTACTTTCCCTTAGGAATTGTGCTAGCTTCCCGTTGAAGCCATATAAAAACTTACTGCTATTTTATACTTCCATTGAATTTTAGAGCTGTCAGGAATTAGGGATTACCTGAACCAGCCCTCTTAATTTAAATATGGGGAAACTGAAGGCCAAAGAATTTAAGTCAAAGCTCATATGGTAAATTAGTGGTCGAATCAAGACTGGAAGCTGTGCCTGTAGTCCAGATTGGTGCAGGCCTTTCCTATCACCTTGCCTTCTCGCATGCTAGACAGGAACTCATGGATTTACCACCTTCATAGCCCACCTGACTTTTGGAATTGGGCTTCTGTAAGTCATCTTCCCTTCTTAAGAAAGGTATCTGGGGATTGATCGCAGCATTCTGTAAATACCTAATTGATTTGTACAGAATATTTCCTTGTAGGAGGGACATAGGTATGTTTCATATCTTAGATCCCAATTAGGTTTTTAAAGTGTTTGTGATTAGAAATCTTACCCCCTGTTAAAAGATACCTAAAGTGGGCCAAGTGCAATGGCTCATGTCTGTAATCCCAACACTTTGGGAGGCCGAGGTGGGTGGATCACTTGAGGTCAGGAATTCCAGACCAGCCTGACCAACATGGCAAAACCCCTTCTCTACTAAAAATACAAAAAGTAGCCAGGCATGGTGGCAGGCACCTGTAATCCCAGCTATCTGGGAGGCTGAGGTGAGAGAATCACTTGAACCCGGAAGGCAGAGGTTGCAGTGAGCCGAGATTGCACCATTGCACTCTAGCCGGGGCGACCAGAATAAAACTCCATCTCAAAAAAATAATACCTAAAGTGAACTCAAGTGAAAACAATACAGTTCCTTCCTACTGAAGAATATGACCTTTTTAAATAAGCATGCATCTAAATGTCCCAGGTTTCAGATCCTCTGGTAGGACAGACTTAGCCCAAGAAGAACAAGCATATTGTTTGTCTCTTTCTCCTCTCCAGTCTAGCAAAGATTTCTGCCTTTAACACCCATTTTTCTTTTTCTTTTTTTTTT